ATAAATACACACACATACAGTATATATTTTGAAAATATTTACATGTATATACATTTATATATTTATATTATTATATTTTATATAAATATATTTAATATATAAACATAACATATTTTTCTTAAATATATACATGCATGTTTTTGTATTTATATAGGCTATAGGCCTACACAAAATAAATATACACAGTACACACTAATATATTATGCAAACAAAAACTTTTATTTTGGATGCGATTAATCGCAATTAATCATTTGACAGCACTAAAAAGAAGAAAGATTTTGAGGGCAAACTTTTTTTCCTTTGGAGCAACTTGTTGGCTACTGATTAATTGTGCACTGTTAGAAAATAAATGTTCATTTTGATTTTGTGTTTGAAGTTTGTGCTCTCCAGGAGGTTCCCAAATTATTTGACCGTTTTTGACTTCACATTACTCAGCATCTTATTTAATATACAAATATCACGACAGCACAGAGCACATATCGCTACAAATGAATATGTACTTAAATTTAGTGTAACATCCACAGGCTTTTGTACTATATACAAAACATCTGATCTGTAATAGTAAGTAAACACAGCTCTCTGGGATTGATCTCTGTCCCTGAACCTTCCTGGCTAGTGTATCTCTTTACCTCTAAAAATAGTAAGATGACTGTAGTCAACAGTCTATTACAGCATTCATTCCCTTCACCTATTGTGTCTTCAACATGGACTGACTGCATTAGACTCCCTGCATTTGCTTTCTTTGTCACTGTGTCTGTGTTGTTGTTTTATTGTATTATAAAAACAAGTTTCTTCTACGTAGAAATAGACTTGCTTTTAGCATAAGCTTTGCTTATGGCTTTTATCTGTCCATTAGTCTATGCAATGAGTGTGAGGCCGTAGTTTTTCATGTAAAATAGGGCTGCACGATTAATCGCATGCGATATTTAACGCGCATCTTATCAGTAAATCCGGTTCTGTAATCAGCGGTAAATCTCCATCACCTGCGTGCTTTCACATTGAGCAGCATTAACTACACAGAGCCGTTGTTCACTGACGAGCTGCGCTAAACCACGTTCATATTCGCGCGATTTTTTGCGCAACTCATCAGTGAACAACGGCTCTGTGTAGTTAATGCTGCTCAATGTGAAAGCACGCAGGTGATGGAGATTTACCGCTGATTACAGAACCGGCTTTCTGACAAGATGCGCGTTAAATATCGCATGCGATTAATCGTGCAGCCCTAATGTAAAATCTATTTTCTGAATGCTTCTGTGTGCTTGCCAAAGCAAACTTCACTATTACTATTGCTCATACCTACAGCTGGGGAATTGAATAAACACTAAAACTTTGGCATGTAACTCATCCCGCACGTTTCTGCTATAGACATGAATGATGCAATGTATCAAATCCTGCGGATTGTTGAGGAGAGATGTGTTATTACTTTTCTAATCAGACGTGTGATTTTCACCTGGCAGATGATAAAACTGATTACAAAAAAATTCTTATTGAAGGAGGGAATGAATGTGCTAAAACAAGAATACTTCAGCAACCGCATAGAAACACCCTGGCAACACCTTTGTGGTACTTCTCGCATCTTTTTTCAGACAAGTAAAAATCTAGTTATTCTCTTGCTACTATCAAAGTCTGTTATAGATAGTACATAAAAACAAACAAAAAAATATAATAAAAAAACAAACAAAACTATAATAATTTACTCACCCTCATATTCCAATCACCCTCAACACTATAACTTTTTTTTTATTCAGCATAACACAAAAGAAGATTTTTTTGAAACAATCACTCTTTTCCATTCTTTGACAATGAACAATCATTGACGCTTTCAAGGATGTAAAAGTAGTTGGATCATCTTTATCATAAAAGTTTTATGTATCGTTTTTATCATAAAAGTCGCCCAAATGACTTGTGCACTAAATTCCAAGTCAGCTTTGCGTGAACAGACCAAAATTTTAATTTATAAAATTTATTATATAGTTTATATATCTCATGAACTCTCAGGAAGGCACCAAATAAATATATAGCCTATATATATATATATATATATATTTATTTGGTGCCTTCCTGAGAGTTCATGAGAGAAATGATAAAAGTCAAATTTATCAACAAATCATTCATTTGAGTCTGATCTTTGAACCATTTGACTCAAAACATGATCCATTTCTTTAGATTCAGCTCACAGACTCAATCGCAATGGTTTAACAGCTCACTGTTGAGGAAGTGTATCGGTGAACACATTTTGGTCTGTTCCTTACACAAAGCTGTCATATGGTTTCAGAAGACATTTTAGACAGCTGTATGGACCACTTTTACAATATACGTTCATAGTGCTTAAAAGCTTTAGTTCAAGTTCATTGTAACTGCATGGAAAACAGCAACCACTATTTGTCATTTTGTGTTTCAAAGTGCCAAGAAGTGTTTGGATTAACCTGAGGATAAGTAAAAGTGACTGAATTTAATTTTTTGGCTGAACTATTCCTTCTATTTCACCTCTCTGTTAGTCCGGCCAATAAATCACCTTCTCAGAATTTGATTTCCTCTCTGTTCTTTTTTATTTCTCTACTTCAACTTCACGTTTTTAAAATCTGTCACAATCCCCCTCTCTCTCCTCTCGTTTCTCTGTGGCCGTCTCTCTTGCTCTTCTCTCCTCTTTCTTCAACTCTGTCTATCCCCATCCCTTTCTTTCCCCATCCCTCCTTCCTCTCTCTCTCAGCATGGCCGAGCAGACTTTTCATGGGATGGAATCAATGTAAGTGTTGTGAATATCATTCCTCCATTTCTGTCCTTTCGTTATTTTCCTCTGAATCACAGTAGCTGTCTCCTATCTCACACCCCATTCCTCTGTTTGATCCGTCTCTCTTTTGCAGTGACTTGTTGGTGTGCCATAGTAGTTAGACTTTGTTGCGGACGTAAATGACAAAAGACTACACTTCCCACCATGCAAATGGACAGAAATGAAGTAGAAGGCTGTTGGGAAATGTAGTTTCACAACCTCTAGAAACCACTTTGCTAACTTTCTACCTAACTTCTCTCATCACCTCTTTCCTTTCCATAAACTTCCACCCACGCTCAAAATTTTGCAATTCATTTCTGCTCCTGCTCCATCGAAACCATCTATTTCTTCACCTTTCCTATTTTCTGTCCCATTTTTCTCTCTTGATTGCCTTCCTTCATTCCAGTTGTCTATGGAGGACACAACCTCAATCCTCCCTCGGCTGAAGAAGCAGAACTCCAACGCCTATGGAATCGGCGCTCTGGCTAAGTCCTCTCTGACAGGTGTGTCAGGTGTGTGTCTGTCCTGTGAAATGGTAAACTGACCCCATGTTGACTCCAGACTGAGCTGGAGGAGATGGAGCCAACATGGACCCTTGTGGGTTTCCCTTTTCACCACCCGTTTCCATTTACAACACTCTCCAATGGCTCGTGCCATTGGTGAATTCCAAGATCCAAATAAGAATAGTTTCCTGAAAAGTAAGCAATATGCATCCCACAATGCATTGTCATACGGCTTTTCAATTTATCCTAAGCGGTGGTTGATGGGAGAGGCAGGTTTTTGTATGTAAAGTGCTTGTGAAGTGCGGAGATCAGTCAGTGTGTGTCTTGTAATATTGTTGTTTCTCAGACTCCTGTAGCTGTGTTTTTGTAGTACTGTTGTGTGCAGTAAAGTGCAGTGCAGTCTATATCCTTCTCTGAAAGATCCTTTTCTTCAATTTTAATAATTAATGTTCATCGTTTCATTAGGCATAACCTAAGAGCTTGGGAGATTTTAGAATTATCTCTGTATGTTTGCAGTAATGCACTGGTAAAAAAAAAAAATGTATATATAGATTCTGTCCAAATGGCAAAGAGCAATTGATTTTTTCTCAGTATCTTATATAAAGTCTCCACACAGAATTTACTGGTATTCAAACAGATCGTTACAGCCTGGCTTAAGTATATCACAGATGTAGCTTCATTGAATAAGCTGAAACTAATAAAAGAAAATGCAGGAGAAAGTAAAAGGCTAATATTGTGTGTAGATCTTCATTAGTGTGGAAAGAAGTCATTCCAGTAAGACAAATTCCCATCCCTTGTCACTAAAACTTGGTTATTTATTTTTCCATACCATAACCATCTACGTCTCATTATGGAAGTGATTTTCATTTCCTTACCTCAAACAATTCTACACATATTTGTCAACAACGGAAACATTATAACACAGCACATGGAGAGGTTGCATTGGCAGTTGAAATTTAAAACATTAAAGGATAATAAAAAATGCTTTTCATCATTTTAACAGACAAGGATTTTATTAGAATCTTACAAATACCTCATTTTAAAAGTGAGAATTCTAGACGTGGAATTTTTTTCTAGATACACCAAGCTCTAAAATATTTTAATGGGTAGAAATTGTGATTAAAAAAAATATTTGTGAAAATTCTTATCCTTAATCCTTATCTAGTTCACAAGATTGAAGTCATGCAAATTCACGCACTCTCAAAAAAAAAACAAAAAAAAACCTGTAAATGGTACATAAATGTACTGTATATATTAGTACCTGAAGTTGAAAGAGTACCATCGCAGTGACCTTTTTTGAGAGTGTGGCTTAAAAAGTGGGATCCCTGATGAACATACAGCTCTTAAAATGTATGGAATCAAGAAATTCTAATAATTTTAGTTACTTCTTTTAATTTACAGAAACTAGGAGATAATAACTAGGAGAAACTAGGAAACTGTCCATAGATTAAAATAAACAGACGGCTACTTCTGCAGGTTATTTTCTATAAAGATGTACCGTAATTGGTTACTTTTTGCTACATTATGTAAAACAAAGTCATTTTTAATTATTGAAAGTATTAACTTTGGTTATGTCAAGGTGATGTGCTATACTTTTATATAATAGTCCTAGTAAAAATCAGTTAAACTAAAACAATCACGACAGATAGATAAAAATTACGGTGCCTGTAAGGTGACATGTTCGGTTCACTTAGTTTTGTCGTGGCCACGACATAATAACTCGTGGGAACGTGATAATATGTCGTGGCCACGAGATATTAATTTGAGGGAATGTCATATTAACTCGTGGGAACGTGATATTATGTCATGGCCACAAGATCATTTTGTCGAGGTAAAGACATCCTTATGTCGTGGCCACGACTTCTTATTTTGAGGGAAGGACATATTTTTCTCGTGGCCACGAGTTTAATGCGTAAACAAACCTGCGTGACCATAGCAACCCGGGATTATCAAAAATAGATAAAACATTTTTATTTACATTAAACATTTCATTTAATATTTTTGTATTATTATTTGTATTATTACATTAACTTATTAGGGCTATATTTTTATATTTATTGTTATATATGCTTATTTCCCTTTTCAATTTGTGTATTGCTTTACCTAGTTAACGTATTGTATAATTATGCTAGCATTTGCTAGCCTACCATATACTTTGTAAATAAATGCCTGACAATTATGCCAATAAAGTTTTGACTTTATGATTGTATTTATGCCCATGTGTGATGATAAATGAGCGTGTTGTGTTTTCATTTACAAATGAAACTACGTGAATGATTAATTCCTTAACGAAACACTATAGTATTTATAATTTTGGTCTATTAATTAGCCGAAATCAAATGAAATATATGTTAAATATAAACTGCATTCCAGAAAAAATTCCAGTCAGCATAATCAAAGCTTTGGCTAATACTACTACTACTACTACTACTACTACTACTACTACTACTACTACTACTACTACTACTAATAATATACAAATATTATGGGAAAAAGACGATCAGTTAAAGGACTTACAAGACTGTAGGATGAATAAAAGTGTTTTCTTGTAGGCCTATTTTATATTATGCACTTTATGTAACATTTATTCATGATAAACTTTATTTGAATGCTGACAATCGCACATAATACAGCCCGGTAGCCAAGGCCTATATGGTTAATATAAAAATATAATAATGTAATAATTTCTATAATAAATAATATAATTTCTTAATTCAAAATAAAATATTAATGAATCATCTCCGATAATCCGGGGTTGCTATGGTCACGCAGGTTTGTTTCCGCATTAAACCCGTGGCCACGAGAAATGGATGTCGTTCCCTCAACATAGCATCTCGAGGCCACGACATAAGGATGTCGTTACCTCGACAAAATGATCTCGTGGCCATGACATATTATCACGTTCCCACGGGTTATTATGTCGTGGCCACGACAAAACTAAGTGAACCGAACATGTCACCTCACGGGCACCGTAAAAAATAGATAATGATGGGCACGTTTTAAATTCAGTCTGTAAGAGGATAACATGTGGTGCAACCTCTGAGCACGCTAGGCTATTCCCAATTTCCATGTTACATTCACTCATATACCCCATATAGTCTCTGAGCAGGTGACCTCATACTGCCCTCTGTCTGTCCGTCCACTTCAGGAGTGTCTCGCTCTATGAAGGACAAGGTGACAAAGCCGACAGCGATGGCCCAGGGGCGCGTGGCTCACATGATTGAGTGGCAGAGCTGGGGCATGCAGACGGTGGGCGTGGGGGGCACAGGAGCGGGACGCACCTCCAGTCTGCACCTCCAACAAGAGCGCAAGCTGGAGAATGACGCATACAGCGACCTCAGTGACGGAGAGAAGGAGGCTCGCTTCGCCGCAGGTGAGAGACAGACTGTTTAATAGCTAGAAAGACCTACACAAAATCTAGTGCTTAGAAATGACTGAAGACGCACAAAATAGCCTACAGAAGAGCCACAATGTGGAAGTGCAACAATGGGAAAGTCAATGGGAACCGAAACCATTTGGTTACCAATATTCTTCAAAATGTATCTTCAACAGAAGAAAGAACAACAGGGGTTTGGAATGACAAAGAGTGGGTAAGCGGGGGCGGATCTAGAAAATAACTTTTAGGGTGGCAAAGGGGTGGCATGGGGTCTATGAGGGGTGGCAACACCAAAGCAAGCCCCCATGCATAGTTTTTGGGGATTTATCTTACACACATTTTCAAAACTTTGCCTCTTTTTTTCAAAACTTTACACACAAATCCAAGAATTGCACACACAAAATGCAAAATGCCTCACATCTCTTGCAAAATTAAGCACTGCATTCAAAACACATCTCAAAAGCAGACATTTGCAAACACCTTTGCCATAATATTAATTCCTGTTATATTTTTGTGTGTTGCATAGAGAATTGTGTTGCAAAAAGTGTTATATGAAATTGAATACTGAGTCAAAGGCCGAGAATTATGGTTTTGCAGATTTGGTCTGTGGTTCTGGTGTTTGAGTGTCAGCTTTCAGAAATTGTGTGATGCTTACACACAATTCAAATACACAGATGACTTTCCTGCCCAGTGAACACTGAGATCAATAACACTGTAAGAAAAAAACTCTTACTAGGATTCAGGAATTATTTTTTGCAGCTCAATGTCTATAACAGTATTCATAAATTAAATTACAGATACAGATACAGTATAATTCAACAATGAACTTTTGGGAAAAAATCATTTAGCTCAATGTCTATTACAGTATACATATATTAAATTACAGATACAGATTTATAATTCAGCAATGAACTTTTGGGAGAAAATAGTTTTCATTTTACTACTGTAAAGTAATCTTGCAGTAAATGAAAAGCACTAGAAAAGTTCAAATACCAAATAATTGTATGAACTTGGTATACACCACAATACAGTACAGTAAAAATAAAATAAAGTAAATTTAGCATCCTCTGCACATTTGGCCAAATTTCATTACAGTATACAGTACTATAGCAGTTTCTTGGTCTCCTGACACAAGACTAGCTATATTTCTAGGCAGTCATTTCTCAGTTCTGCAAAAATGTAGTACACATAAAAATGGTTACAAATAAAATTTGACAGTTACTGTACATGTAGAATAGTGAAATTTCCATTATCTAATGTACTGGTACTGTACTGTAATTATACTGTATGTGTAACTATAAAACCCTTGTAGATGATTGACTCAGCTCTCTCCTCTCTCCATTGTTAGGATGAATAACATTTTAATATCCATCATTGCACCAAGTCAATACACAACGTAAAAAACTTCAACAGGTTATAAATGTTTCTGAACTTGTATCACTAAAGAAGACATGCGGTTCTAATAAAATTACATAGGCTACTTAGATAGTATAATCACGTTTAGTGCAAGTTTAAGAGCAACAAATATTTTTGAATTTCCTGACATTAGAAAGAAATACAATAATGTCAAAGCACTGAAACTGGATCAGTTTGGAAAACAATGTTTGATTTTCTGTTATTAACAGAGGTGGGAATGTCTGTAATCACCCAGAACAAACTCTAGCAACCATATACTCTAGCAACACCCCAGCAACTGCATAGCAAGAGCCTAGCAACCACCCAGAATATCCTAGCAACCAACTGTACTGTAATTATACTGTATGTGTAACTATAAAACCCTTGTAGATGATTGGCTCAGCTCTCTCCTCTCTCCATTGTTAGGATGCAGAGATTCTGATTGGTGTGTCATCAGTTTTGCTACCTAATGTGTAACTTACTCATTGTTAAACTTTTTGAGAAATGTGTCTTTGTTTTGAAAACTGAATGAATGGTTTGGGGGAAAAAGTGCCAACTAAAATCATCAGTTATATTAATAATCAAGAAAACTGCAATACGACTAGATTCTTACCTAACTCTCCTATTAGTTTCCGTGATCGGCATCTTCTTATTGTTACGGCTTATATCCATGATGAAAGTGGAGCGAGCGGTCGGAGAATCGGATCACCAAACAATTACGCGATGAATCTCAAACATATCCGGATGGGATCAGATTTCTGATGGACTTCTGAGTTAGCTGAGAAGCAGTACTTATCTGATTCACGAACAAACGTAAAAACAATTAGTTAGTGAACTGGGCCACGCTTCGTGGTTTTGACTAAAAAAGATCCGGTTCATAAGAGTCATTTGTTAATGAAGCCGACTACATTGGCACGCTGCGTGTGCGTGCAACCATCGTGCAGTTTATTAAAAGACGTGTTTTTGCCATTATTTTGCGTTACTCTGTCATCGCCGCGGCTGAAAAGTACCACATGAAACACTGCTTACATTTATATTTTATTCTGTGATAATTCTGGGGTGGTAGGTGGGGTGGCACAGCTTTTTCTTAGGGTGGCAGTTGCCACCCCGTGCCACCAGGTAGATCCGCCCCTGTGGGTAAGGGATGACAGAATTTCCCTATCCCTTCTTTATCCCTTCAAGGGGGTTAATCATGAGTCAAATATATGTGACCCTGGACCACAAAACATAAGGGTCAATTTCGAAATTGAGATTTATACATCATCTGAAAGCTGAATAAATAAGCTTTTTTTTGTTAGGATAGGACAACATTTGGCCGAGATACAACTATTTGAAAATCTGGAATCTGAGGGTGCAAAAAAATCTAAATATTGAGAAAATCGCCTTTAAAGTTGTCCAAATTAAGTTCTTAGCAATGCATATTACTAATCAAAAATTAAGTTTTAATATATTTACAGTAGGAAATTTACAAAATATCTTCATGGAACATGATCTTTACCTTACTTATTATCCTAATGGTTTTTGGCATCTTATTGGAAAAATCAATCATTTTGACCCATACAATGTATTGTTGGCTATTGCTACAAATATACCCCAGCGACTTAAAATGGTTTTGTGGTCCAGGGTCACATATTGAGTGCATTTAATGCTTCTTTTGAAATGCTGAACTGTGTTGTGGTAAGGTGTGAGAGATAGCACTATCCATATTAAGTTCACCTGCTCCCATCTGCTGCTGAATGCAGTAAATCAGACTGAATGCATCACATCATCATACCTTATTTATGACTATGAGAATGCCGGGAATGTGTCTGGGATGTTTGCTTCTATCTCTTATTCATGACACCATCTCTGAGATGACGAGGCTTCTTTATAGTATTTCCACAGTCAGGTGACAGAGATTAAGTTTCAGGTGTGAATAGCCGCTGGAATCCAAGATTTATTCATATATTTTTTTATTAATGTGTCATTGAATTTGTCCATTACAGACTTTAATTTAAACACAGAAGAAAAAAGTATCAAGGAATTATTATGGATTAATTTGTTAAGCATATAAACTGTTAAAAATATATTTAAAAAATACAAACTTATTTTTTTTCCTTGGGTTAAATATGAGGTAGCATTCAAACGTTTTGGATTGGTATGATTTTTAAACGTTTTTGAAAGACATTTTACTCAACAAGCCTGCATTTATTTGATTTAAAAATACAAAACAGTAATATTGTGACAGTAAAAACAGTAATATTGTGAAATATTATTACAATTTAATTGCTATTATTGCAATTAATAACTCTTTTCTATTTTAAATAATTTTTGTTAGTCTTCAGTGTCACATGATCCTACAGAAATCATTCTAATATGCTGAAGAAAAATTTATTATAAATAATAATGTTAAAAACAGGAGTCTTTGATAAATATAAAGTTTAAAAGAACAGCATTTCTTTAAAATAGTTTTTCTTTTTTTTGGTAACAATGTAAATATTTTACTGTCACATTGGATCATTTTAAAGTGTCCTTGTGGAATAAAAGTATTCATTTTCCTAAAAATAAAATAAATTACTGACAACAAAATTTTGAACAACAGAGTATATTTTAATCTATATAAATCATTATATGTGGTCCAAACACAGGTGGTTTTAGTGGTTGAGGTTCAAATTAAAGGGGTCATATGATGCTTTTTTAAAGATCATTATTTTGTGTATTTGGTGTAACAGAATATGTTGACATGCTTTAATGTTCAAAAAACACATTATTTTTCAAATACTGTACATTATTGTAGGTCCTCTATGCCCCGCCTCTCTCAAACGCGTCGTTTTCAACAAAGCCCCTTCCTTTGACAAGCGCAGTCTGCTCTGATTGGCCAGCTGACCCAGTGCATTGTGATTGGCCGAACATCGGGGGGGTGTGGCAGAGTCTTAACTTTGATAAAGAATATCTCTTTGGTTTTGAGACTTTAGTCTTTGCAACTTCAGGGATCTTATCTATGCACAATCAGCTTGTAACACTCCAAAGAGAAAGGAAAACTTAAAATCGCATCATATGACCCCTTTAATATTAGTCTCAAACATAGCCAAAATTAGCCATTAATACCCTGGCTGTTATTCAGAAGTTGAATAGCAATAACATCACTAGCATCTACAAAATACAAACAAGTATCAATACACATATATTCATAAATGCACCAGTCCTGTTCTCCCTTAGACTTACATATTCTTACTTTAAAACTTTGCTATGCTAAGAAGCTTTGATGTGTTTTTATGGCCAACAATAAACAATCTAATCCTGAATTTTGTCAGGTGTGCTTCAGCAGTTTGCGATCTCTGAGGCGACGCTGCTGGCCTGGACCTCTATGGACGGCGACAGCACAAGCGTTGGATCTAATCAGGGGAGCGTAGCCCACCTGAGCGAGGCCAACCAGGAAAGCATCACCAGCCGAGGTACTGACTACATTTCCCAGCATGCACTTGCAAGCTTAGAGAATTACTGTGCTTCTTTCTACTGCGCTTCAGGCTGGAAACCTAGCCTAAACTTGGGAATAAAATCAATTTAGCAACAGAACTTCCACGTCACAGTGTGAGCTCTGATGAGTGCTGCAATTATTCAGGCAACGTGCTGTCAAAAACCACAATTAAACACTTTCTTTTAACAACTTAGCCCATCTTTCTATCTCAGCTCAAAAAATATAGGAAGAAGATATGCTTGAAATACATGACTAATTCTGTAAGGACTGAAAAATTAGACATTTTCTTTTGTTTTCCTTTTATTTAGTCCTATGCCAAGAGGTTTCTCTAAGAAGAAAGCTTTCCATTGAAAGCCCCCTAGAGTGAGGGTGGGATTGCTATATTGCAGCTGATTTGGAATGCAGTGCACATTGGGTTTTGAATAAATAAAGGTCAGGGACCCGTGACTCTCAGGAGAATGAGAACTAATCCACTGAACAGTTTAGTACAGCCTTACAGACTCACATGAGAGCTCAGAGCAACCAAAGCCATCTGCATGCCAAATGACGACATGTAACAGACAGATAATGTGATAATTATGTCAAACGCTAAGGCAGAAGTGTAACAAAACTAGTTTCACAGGCCCGGAAGTTTAGAACAAAAGGCTTTTATAAATCCAGATGGTAGTTTCTCATCAACATCTGGAACATATGTGCCACAAGTCATAGAATATAAGAATGTAACCTGATTTCCAGCACCAGATAAAGAGTAAAATATGCTCTGCTCCAGAACCTAATGTATAAAAATCATCCATAGATTAGATTAGATTAGATTTCAGAGGTTTTTGGGTCTTTAGGATTTTTACAAATATTTCTGAAAGTCTCTTAGGCCTATATTCACCAAGGCTTCTGTTGGCATTTAAAACAATTGAATATGGTGAAATATTATTATAATTTAAAATATATTTTCTATTTTTGTATATTAAAAACATTCATAATATTTATTTAATATATAGGATTTTTACAAATATTTCTGAAAGTCTCTTAGGCCTATATTCACCAAGGCTTCTGTTGGCATTTAAAACAATTGAATATGGTGAAATATTATTATAATTTAAAATATATTTTCTATTTTTGTATATTAAAAACATTAATAATATTTATTTAATATATATATTTTTTCATATATTTAATATATTAATAATATATTTTAAATATATTTTAACAATTTTTTAATAAAGTAATTTATCCTTGTGTTGGCAATGTTCATTTTTTCAGCATCATCACTCCAGTGTTACATCCTTCAGAAATCATTGTAATGTGCTGATTATTATCAATGTTAATCAATGGAAACCATAATATTATTTTTCAGGATTATTTGATAAATAGAACGTTTTAAATAATATTATTTGAAATATATTTTTTTATATAACAATGTAAGTCTTTTCTGTCACTTTTGATAATTTAATGCATCTTTGCTGAATAAAAATGTTAGTTTCTTGAAATATTATTATATTATATTATATTATATTATATTATATTATGAGAAGTATTGCAAAAAATGTTTCAATCAAAATTGTTTAAAAATGGTTAAGTTGGCGGGGTGGTTAAGATTTTTTACATTTTCTTCGAAATAAAAACATTTATTAGATCAACAATATAATAAATACAGTAATATTGTATAATATTATTACAATTTAAAATAACTGTTTTCTATTTTCATATATTTTCAAATGTTATTAATTCCTATGATGGCATATTCCTATGATTACTCCAGTCTTCAGTGCCACATGATCCTTCAGAAATCATCTAATATGCTGATTGGGTGCTCAAGAAACATTTCTTACTATTATCAATGTTGAAAACAGTTGTTTAATATTTTGTGGAAACAAGTAATGTGAACAAAAGTGTGTGTGTGTGTGTGTGTGTGTGTGTGTGTGTGTGTGGAAATTAATACTTTTGTTCACCTTACTTGATCAAACATATTATATACATATATATATATATACAGTGGGTACGGAAAGCATTCAGACCCCTTCAATTTTTCAATACCCTTGAGCAGTATATTATATTATGGTAAAAAGTACTGCTATTTGTATTTATGCTTATTAGTTTTATAGTATTGCATAATTCCTCTTGAGTCACCTGTATTGAAATCATTTGTGAGTCAAGTTTTTTTTGCTGTAGAGCACAAATCACAAATGTATGGGGTTTCATTCCAGTAAGGATGCTGCCATAGAGGGTCTATAGAGAGAAAAAGGGCAAGAGAAGAATAAGCTCAGTGGGCAGTCTGTGTACGAGTGAGTGTTGCTATGCTACATTACAAAGCCATTCCCTCAGTAAATAAAGAATCTCATTTTTGCTCTGCCGGAGGGGTGAAAATGAGTGAACACTCATTTTAATTTCACAATGATGGCCATGGGGTATGCTGAGGCAAGAGATTTCACCCACGGAAATAGAATGTGCAGTTATTATTATTCAACATTGTTTTATAATCGGATATCATTTAGAAAATATCTTGCTGTTGCATGCAGATGAGGCTGAAAAGTCACAGCATTTGGCTCAAAGAGAAAATAATGGAAATGGAAAAGGCTTTGTTATGAATGTGGGCTCAAATATATTAACATCTGCCCATTGTGTTCAATCAAAGCATCATAAAAGTGTTTTAAGAGCTTTGACTGTAACATAAACGTGAATCTAAAAGCAGCCAAATGTAAAATAATATCATTTATTCTTCTTTTTTTGGTGTACTTTGACAACCCTTTATTTTATTACTCAGGAATATTTTCTTTTCTTTTAAAGACTTTTGCTCAAGTTCCTGATCAATAATAATGATTATTACATGACTCTCTATAATACTTACTTGATTTTGATTATATTGGTAATGTATTTCCTTCGTATTGTAGCTGTGCTGGTTTCATTTCTCTCATGTCACTCTGAGTTCTCTTTCAGAGAACTTCTTTTGTCATATTTTCTTTCTTTTTCTCCATCTCTTCCAGACCAGATAGTGCACCATTCCTCTGCAGAGGTGTGGCCTCACAATTACGTCTCCCAGGGTCTTTACTGCCTTTCTTCCTCTGATGCTTGGGAGCCAATTAGTAATGAACAGTCAGGTGTGGCCTCTCCTGCCACCGGTTCATATGTCATGGCTGTCGGGACTGAGGGAGGATATGACCCAAATGCAGCAGCTCACTTCCTGTCCCAACAGCAACAGCAGCAGTACCAGTTACAGCAGATCCAGCACCTGCAGCAGATCCATCAATACCAGCAGCAACAGCTCCTGCAGTATCAACAACAGCAACAGGTGAGCGAGAAAACTACAACTCCCAGAAGCCTCTGTAACAACAGGTGCATTACAGGTGAGTCAGAAAACTACAAATCCCATAAGGCCTGATTCATATATGTAAGCAGTGTGTAAGCTGTGCATGTTTATTTTATCACCCACATTAGCAAATGCAAAAACATGATATGTCCGGATCTATTAATTTATTCAAAAGTGCAATTCAGTAACTTGCACTGAATGAATACACCTTTTCTATGATCAGAATGTTTGTAATTTCTGAATTAAAATTCATTTAGATTTTTTTTGGGGGGGGGGGGCATGAGGTCAAACAGTTTAGTTTGACACAACAGTCCTGATATCATAATAAACAAATAAAATAATTCAGTTCGTGAAAAGAAACCTTTAAGTTGTTTGACATGTTCTTTTATAATTTTTTTCTTAGAAAAAAAGAAATATGAAATAATGGTTAAAAAACTACAAAATATGAAATAATGGTTAAAAAACATGGTTGAAAAAAGAAAACTGGTAACACTTTACGATAATGTCCTATAAGTTATTTAGTTAGTTAATTAACAATAATCAATACACGTTACAGTATTTTTAATCTTTATTAACATTAGTTGATAAAAATAACTGTTTATTGTTGGTTCATATTAGCTTGCATTCATTAAATAATATTAACAGATACAACTTTTAATGAAATTAATATCAACCAGGATGAATAAATCTTCCAAAAGGTTAATAATCTTCAAAACGATTCATAGATCTTATTAGTTAACGTTAGTTAATTAACTAACAATAATCAATACATGAGTTATACAGTATTTTTTAAATCTTTATTAACATTAGTTAATAAAAATAACTTATTAGCTAATTTTCATTAAATAATATTAACAGCTACAACTTTTAATTTTAATAATTTATTAGTACATGTTGAAATTAACATTAAAGGGGTCATATGACGTTGCTAAAAAAAACATTATTTGGTGTAATGCAATGTGTTTATGTGGTTGGAACAGTGTTGTAAATACTACTTAACCACCGATTTCTAGTTGTGTCCGCTTTTGGAAGGCCAAACAAAGTAGTTTCACACACGGTGGGCTAGAGTGAGCGGAGGCCTAGAGTGAGCGGAGGCCGGCGGGCTAGAGTGAGGAATGGATTCGACGAAGGAGCGGTCGGCGGGCTTGTGGCAACCACATGTGATGACCCCGGGCTGGACTCTACTTTGTCCACGGTGAAAGCCGATCCGGCGATCCACAGCGCGAAGTTGATGTATTTCCTCAGCGACCAGCACGGATCAGCTACAGATTTTCTTTATGGCCCAAGAGCTTGTAACACTCCAAAGAGAAAGGAAAAATTTAAATCTCATAATATGACCCCTTTAAGATCAATACATCTTTTTCAAAGTCTTTTTCATTGTTAACTAATGTTAACAACTGGAACCTTAATGTAAAGTGTTATTGAAAAAAAAAAATGTTAAAAACTCACAATAATCCTTTTATAATTTATGGCCATTATGAAATTCTCAGTTTGGAAACCCAGAAATCACATCATTTTTTGTACAGAGCTTTATTATGTTGCAGAAACACTGTCAGTGTGAAAGCAAAATGTGCACCTTCATCACTTCACATTGGTGTGAAGCAGGGATAAAAGAAGGCTCTGCATCATCATCTTCTGTATTAGTAACAGAGGAGTCATAAAATGTATCCTCCATATTCCTCTGCAACAACAGTTTGTTGGCACATTAACATAAGACTCCCATAAGGCTGTGCTGATCTTATATTACTATCAGCAACAGGTAAGTTACAAAACTACCAATTCCAATTAGCATCCACCGCAACGACGTCTCTTGCTCTGCTGGCTGCAGCATCATGTTGGTGTTGAACAGCACAGGTCCCAGCGGTCATTTCAACAGCAGCCCCAGGATCAGCAGTGAGAGAGCAGTCTCGCTGGAGCAAATGGGGAATATAAACAATACAAATCCCATCAGCCATTGCAATTGTAACACAACAGAGTAAAAAATCTAATTCCTGATCTCTGTATAAACCTTTAAAGATTTACTATGAGCTCTTTGATTGCTAAACAATGATATACGCTTCTTTAGAAGGCATCGTTCACTGTGATTTTGGTTTGATGTTTAATTGATTGCCCATTCCATGAAACATCACGAATAAAATCATCTAACGGAGTCAGAAAAATCTATTTGAAAATTGGATAAGATAAATAAACTTGTTGGCAAATAGTTTTTAAGCATGACCCTCACCCAATTTGCGTACTTTTATCTGACAATTGTAAAAAAATAAAATAAATGCATTTGTTTTAAATATGTTTACATCTTTAAGATATGTTTTATTTGAAAATGACAAATCTATACAGTAAAAATATTTTTAAATATATGATGATATGGTATAAACACTGTGTATGCATTTCAATCATTTTGTGGTAAGCTTTATTGCAATAATATTGTTGTATATTTTATATTGTCTTAAACTATTGACATGATCATTATAAATACTAATTTCTGATTTCTGATCAATTATTGCTATTGTTTTATGAGATGTTTAGTTCATTCCTTATAATATTTTTAATAAATATGCAGATTTTAAATTATTTTTCCCCTTTAAATTGATGTTTGTAATTTTGGGTGCTGGTTGGTTTGGTTCATGTCAATTTATTGGAATGAATAATATGAATGGGGAAAGAGAGACAGCTGAAAAAGTGGCTTGCACACTTTTACCGCAATGGCGACTTGAACAGTTTTTCTGTCTATTTGCAGATGTTGGAGCAAAGACTACAGAGTTCCACTCAGTCTTTACAAGCTACTCCCAACAGCACCATCCACAGCCTGCCGCCCCTCACTCACCCGCCATTAGTGGATCTGTGGGGGGCAGCGCAGACAGAGGCCTATCAGGCAGACATGGTGGGCTACATGGGTATGCCTGTAGCAGTAGATGGAAATCTAACAGCCCCCACAGAGGAGGTGACGACAGATCACTCACCTTTACTGGAAGCCCAGGAAGAGGAAGAGATCAAAGTGAGTGAAAAAAATTTATCAATAAAATGTGCAGTAAATGACACTTAAGCCACACTTTAAAATATCTGAATGTTTTTGCACTAAAATCAAAATATCAAGTGATATCTGCTAGACATTTTTTCAAAAACTAACTTCACTTTTCTAGTCATTTGGACATTTCTCTTGACCAACTGGTCCCAGCATAATTTTTAATAGGGATGCACGATATTATCGGACCGATATCGGAATCGGCCGATAATGGCTTTAAATGTAGATATGAAAAATTATGCCGATATGTCTTGCCAATAGGAGGAATACGTTTACTCACATGTGCTCAAGGTGTGCTAGCGATTAGATCAGGTCAGCAGTGTGGCTCATTCTTGAAGCAAAGTTTTGCCTGAATGGTGATTGGATTACTGTTTCCCATAGCTGCATTTAAACTGAGAAAGCACATACAGAATGATGCGTTTGTGTGTGATAAGAGTCAACAGTAATAGCACGCTCCCTCCCCCGCCATTAGTGGATCTGTGGGGGTCAGCGCAGACAGAGGCCTATCAGGCAGACATGGTGGGCTACATGGGTATGCCTGTAGCAGTAGATGGAAATCTAACAGCCCCCACAGAGGAGGTGACGACAGATCACTCACCTTTACTGGAAGCCCAGGAAGAGGAAGAGATCAAAGTGAGTGAAAAAAATTAATCAATAAAATGTGCAGTAAATGACACTTAAGCCACACTTTAAAATATCTGAATGTTTTTGCACTAAAATCAAAATATCAAGTGATATCTGCTAGACTTTTTTTCAAAACTAACTTCACTTTTCTGGTCATTTGGACATTTCTCTTGACCAACTGGTCCCAGCATAATTTTTAATAGGGATGCACGATATTATCGGACCGATATCGGAATCGGCCGATAATGGCTTTAAATGTAGATATGAAAAATTATGCCGATATGTCTTGCCAATAGGAGGAATACGTTTACTCACATGTGCTCAAGGTGTGCTAGCGATTAGATCAGGTCAGCAGTGTGGCTCATTCTTGAAGCAAAGTTTTGCCTGAATGGTGATTGGATTACTGTTTCCCATAGCTGCATTTAAACTGAGAAAGCACATACAGAATGATGCGTTTGTGTGTGATAAGAGTCAACAGTAATAGCACGTGCAGCGGCAGCAGCGGCAACCTCCCCTGGGTCCTAATGTCCACTCAGTAAGGAGTTTTAATCCCATAGGGGGCGCTGTTGGCCTACTTCTAATAAAATGAAAGTAAAATACACAAATAACATTTAGACTGTTTCTGATTAAATAAAGCCGTAATTGATGCCATAAAATCATGTGTATGTTTTGATTTAAAGGTCAGAAGCTATAGCTTACATGAAAAAAAAATCAAACATGACACTTAAATTTAATAATTTTATATATACTGATTTATTAATTAAAGGGATACTCCACCCCAAAATTAAAATGTTGTCATTAATCACTAACCCCCATGTCGTTCTATTAAAGCCATCTTAATTTTGCCTTAATTGTCTTTTTGAATTGAGTAGAATATGTAAAATTTATTGAGATTGTGATTGCCATATACATTTTTGTCCTTGAGCTGAATACCTACCTCTAGTGTTGCATACCGGTCACTGCACCTAAATAAAGCCCCACTTAAAATATCTGAATGTTTTTGCACTAAAATCAAAATATCAAGTGATATCTGCTAGACATTTTTTCAAAAACTAACTTCACTTTTCTAGTCATTTGGACATTTCTCTTGACCAACTGGTCCCAGCATAATTTTTAATAGGGATGCACGATATTATCGGACCGATTTCGGAA